CTAGAAGAAAAACGAATTATAATAACATGTATGTATTTTTATTGGAAATACATTAGAAATTCGATGTGATTTTCTTCTATTTTTTTTTTGTTCATATTTAAAAATAAAATTGAACAACACAAAAGAAAATAGTCTTATGAATGCATAATAAAGACTACAATTAGATCACAAGAATCAAGAAAAACAAGACACTTCTTATCTTATTAGTCGCGATTTTGTCTAGATCGATCTTACCAAAAAGTCGACATCTGCTTTCTCAAGCAAAGGTCTTAATTAAGGGGTAAGAAAAGCAATAATGTGATTGTGATATTTGATGAATACGATGGATTAATAACAACAGTTCTATAGTTGAATAGAGTGACAGCAATAGAATTTGAAATATTTTTTTTTAAATAGCTCATTGCAACACTAAAGTAAGTTATTGGACGCGACAGCGACAGCTTTTCAGTCTCAACAAACATTTCTGAGATGTATGACAATCGATTGAAACACAAAGCCAATAACATTTTAATCAAATCTTTTATATAATAGATTTAATTATCGATATTGACGATATCCATGTCATTCATAATAATTATAATCTACATATCTGAAAAAAAAAGTTTTTTCTATCCTTAAAGGTAATTCATGTCGTGAAACGTACCTCAGTTTGAAACGATTAATTGCAATATCGGAAAAATCAGCAGCTAGCTAAAATTCAATGGTTACGAATAGAATTTTATTCGATATTGTTTATTTGGAGATATTCAAATAACCCTTTCTCAAAAATAAAGACTTCAAAACAATTTTTTGAATCAGATAGTTTGTTATATCATGAAGATTTGTACTAAATATGTATGAATGGATTCATTTCAATTAATATAAAAAAAAACAGAAGACAAGTATCTGTCTTCTGTACATGCGAATTATCTCATTTTACTGCAGAAACTATTCAAAACTATAAAATATGATTGCACATATACGACATGATTTTCTCGTCTTCAAGAAGAAAAGAAAGAAAGTACTTTTCTAATCTCTGTGAATCAATACAAATCAAAGTATTTTAGAAAATATGCGACATCAAGTTTATATGATTGTCAGCGTATAACTTACAGTACAGTAAGTAGTACTTAAATTTTAAAATTTATTTAAATTTTCGCTTAGTATATCTCTCAACAAGCTTTTTTTAAATTTATTTATATTTGTAAAAATAATATATCAGTGAAGGTGATTCTGCCATAAAAATTTCCTGATAATTCGTTTTTAGTCAACAGTTTGTGCTCTAAATATACTTTTTGAGACTTTATGTTATGGTCCAATTATCATATTTTTTAATAAACATTCTAACTGACCAGGATTACCGTGACGAAGTTACAATTGAATGATTGAGTTTTTGTCATAAAATATTGAGACATCGTTTTCCTCTCAAGTTGTTGTTTTTGAACAGATATTCGACTCTAGAAAAACAATTTTTGAGCACTATTGCTTAATTGAAGAGTAGACCTTGGATGATTTCAGTTATTGCTAGTGCCTATTCTGGTGGTACTCTGCTTAGATGAAAAAAACTTATGGTATCATCCTAATGATCTGTATTTCTTATTTTTCCATTCAGCAAATTGTTCTATTAACCATATTGTACTTTTTTGCACTCTTCTTCCCTTTTTTATTTTGCTGGTAGTCTTTTGCTATAATCGCAACCACGTGACTTTTACAACTGTACAGTTCGATATAAGAGTGATTATAGACGAGCATATGAAGAGAGACAGATGTTATACAAACAATTCTCTTTTAGATTATTATTTTTTTCTATTCACCATATTTCTTCAACTCTGTTAGTGCAAAAACTTATACTGATGTGCTGCTCTGGGGTGTGGGTGTAGTGGTCTCTTATCTTCACCCATACTAGCATCCACACCCACACCCCGCGTAACGTAAAATCAAATCATGTCTCTCTAAATATGTTTTCATGAAGATTAAAACAATATACCACGGAAATCAGTCGTTCATTATTACTAATTGTTTATCTGATAAACTGTCTCGAAGTATATATGTGAGCGCATGTTTCTTTTAGACACTATTCAAGTGTTAATATGACGAATATTTCCACGTTCTATTCTCATAAATTCGAATTTATTAATGCATCATTTGTTTTAATACGAAGAAGCTTTTTTCATTTGCTTAGTTCAGTTTGCAGTTAATTATCACAGTAAGCTCTCCAATTTATCTAGCATAAGTGTTATTGTTTGATGAACATTGGTTTCGATTATTTTTTTCTCGACAATCATTCATTTTGTTATAAATGCGTGGTGTTTCTAGGGATTCTTCAGTGATATGTTGTAATGCATGTTCATATTCTCCTAATGCTCATTCATATTGATCCATCAAATAGTACTCAAAAGCAACACTTGTATAGACGAGAAACCATAATGAATGTTGTTGTGGAAGTAGAGCTTTTTCACAATGAAATATCGCTTCTTTATAGCATGCTAATGCAGACTGATGATCCCTTCTTCGGTTATAAAGATGGCCAAGATGTCTGTGACAACTAATAATGTTTTGATGATGTGGTAAACTGATATGATTATAAATCGATATCACTCGCCGCAAGTAATCCATTGCTAAATCAAATTGATTTTCGGCCAGTTCTGGAGCTAGACTGAGATAGCTGATGGCCGTTAGCTCATGATTCTCGATCAGATACGATTGACAAAAGTCTAGTGCTCTTTGAAAATAAGTGATAGCTGTTGTATGGTTACCTTTGCCTCTATAAGCAAAGCCTATGTTGTTCAGACAACAAGCTACATGATGATGATGAGGTCGTTCACATTCAATAATCGTAAGTGCATGCAGAAATCTTTGTAGAGCTCCATAAAAGTTTTCTTGGGCTTTCATGACTGAACCCATATTGCTAAGAGCAGCAGCTTCAAGAAGAGGATTTCGAGTACGTGCTTTCTGATATATATTGAGAGCTTTCTCAAAATTTAATAACGCCATTGAATATTGTCCTTGAGAATAGTACGCTTCGCCCAACGTATTGTACATTGTACCTAGGTGTGAATGATTGTCTGGCAATGATTGGATTTGACGAGTCAGTGCCTGTTCAGTACATTCAAATGATTTCGATGGATTACCAACAAGATTGTAAACAATGCTCAAGTTATTGTATACTTGAGCAACCATGTGATGGTTTGATGGTAAATTTTTTTTTCGAATATTAAGTGCCTCTTGTAAATGGTGTAAAGCTAGCTTATAATTAGATTGGTCTTTGTAAAGAAGACCAAGATTTTCGTGACAGTATGATCGTTCGACTGCTAAACGTTTTCGTTGTTTTTCGGGTAAAGTTGCATCATCATGACGCAAATCGAGACTTTTATTGATATACTTCAGAGCATTATCGAACTCGCCAAGATCGCTATGAACAAGACCTTTATTATTGTAAGCGCACGCCAGCTTACGATTAAAATTAATAATATGATCAGACATGTTCGGCTTCAAATATAAATCAACTGATCTATTCAAATGGTAAAGTGCATCGGTAAATTTGCCCATTTTTTGATATGTATACCCCAAATTGTTGTGTACTAATGGACGATCGAAACTATTGGGTGGAAGTTCCTTAAGCAATATCTTACTAGAAATATGATTGCTGAATACATTAATAGAAACCCAGAGGAGCTTTACTCACTTGTATTTTTCCGACTTTTGAAAATCACCTTGACAGAAAAGAAAGCTTGATAATGTTATTAGAGATGTCTCTTGTTCGATATCATCTTCTAGCCAGACTCGTAATTCACTTCTAATACGATCTTCATAGTTAACCATATGCAACTTTATTTCCCAAATATGCTCATTCTGTAAAAGAATGAAAATCGAGCATTGCAATGAGAATTCAGTTGAGTTTGGAATGCATGTTTATAGTATGAGTCATACAATAATTAATGTTTGTTTCCTATTGTATTCAACTTTTGTAATTTTAGAGATTGTAAATGATTAGTCGAGCTTCTATGATTTATTTTGAATTATTTTAAAATAGTTACAAAGAGAATATTCTCATTTTTAATCATTCTTATTTAGTGATTATTAGAATTCTATGAAATTTATTCATCTCCTTATAATTAGTCGATTGATGTTCGTTGCTATAGAACATCCAATTAAGAAATATATTCTGTTTATTTGTCTTCAATTACACAAATTATTATTTTTTTTGCATATGAATCTTTTACAAAAAAAAATGAGCATTGCCAATTCGAAACTCAAATCTTACATTGATTAACTTTCTCATGATAACTCTATCGAATAGATAATCAACAATTCATTTATAGTTCAATTATTAATCAATCAATCGAAAAACAGATTGGTTGCTATTCTAAATAGCATAAATGATTCAATTTCAAGTTTTTAATAACAAATTTGCTAACACTAAACATTTAACCGATCATTCGACCCTCCTACATCACGAGCATCGAAAAACAAAATCTATTCTATAGAAGCAAGTAGCACAAGTACTCTCGATTTCATTTCAACCAATAATTCAATGTCCCGCTGCTCGAAAAAAAAATCTATTCTATAGAAACAAATATCTCAAGTACTCTCGATTTCGTTTCAACCAATGATTCCATGTGCCCATATCCCGCAGCTCGAAAAAAACCTATTCTATAGAAACAAAATGCTCAAATAGTCTCGATTTCATTTCAACCAATCGTTCAATGTCTCCATGTCCCACGCACCGATATAGTAACTAGACTATGAGGAAAATGATAAGTAAGATTTACTTTTACAAAAAAAAAAATAAATAGTATGACTAATAGCTTCTCATCAACAAAATAACAGTACGAAGATACTTTTTATTGTCCGAGAAGTAATAGTAAATATAAATTTGACAAAAAACAAACATATTTTCTTGAATATGTGTTAGAAAAATTTTTAATCAAACAAAGTGAACTAAGTGATTCCAAACGCAACTGCAACAATCAAACAACTATTTAGGAGGACAAATCAAAGTGAGATATAATGAAGATATTTCAAATAAGTCTTTTTGATTCTGTAATTGAATCGTCGAATATCATTCGAAACCATTGATTTACAGCCATTTGACCAAGACGTGATCCAAGTTTATCCCATTTTTTAGCAGATTGTATAGCATCTTCTTTAGTTCTCATTATATAATGATTTAGACGAATTTCCTTCATATCCACATAGAATCTTCGATTTGGCTGAAATTTACTGGTGTGAAAATGGACAGACAATGATTGAATGGTTCCAACACGAATCATTTCTTTACCATTACCTTCCTCACATGCTGGCCAACCATCATAGGATTTGCATTTAAACAAATCTTGTAAATCTTTTTCCTCGTATTCACCAAGATAGCGATGTGGCTTACGCCATAAATTAGTGGTACGTAATGAACGATTGAGCATTTCGTTATCTGTATCTAGGACATAACCTAAATAAAAGCAATAAAAAATATGATTTATAAAAAAAAAACAAATTCAGATTACCATAACGAATCTCATTAAAATGAAATAGATCATATTTATAATAATACTTAAATATTACATCTGATTTTCTCACATTGAGATATTCATCAATATCTTGAATCATCAATAAATCTTCTGGATCCATTGGTTTATCCACAAAACATGATGAAAGACAATAATGAAATTCTTGAGCACGATTTGATTTTTCAACATAAGCAATTTGAAATTGTTTTCGAAGAGATGTTGACAATGGTTTACCTACATTAATCAAACAAACATTCTTAAAACCAACAACATTGAATTGATGATCAAGCCAATCAATCAAATACTGTTCAGATTCATTATAAATTTGACTACAAACATAGTATGAATAATGTGGATTCACATTGATGGACTTTAATCTTGCTGGCACCAAGAGAAAAAATAATGCAAGACTAACGAGAGATGAGACAAAAATAAAACGATATAGAAAACGAAATTTGACGCAGAAATGAAATCGTCCCATGACTATATTAGCCATGTGAGATTATTATGAAAATAGTAGTACATTTATTAAAAAACTAATAAAGCAAAGGTAGGAAAGAGAACATACATGCAGGAATGATTTTGGTTTTTATTATACTTAGGGGTATCCAAAAATAGTGGCAACGACATTTTACTATCACTTAGTAAGCTTGATAAAAGTTTCTTTTTACACAGGATGATAGAGAAAAAAATGCTCTTTCTTTCTATGCTATTTGATCATACTTCACATAATATAATGGTAATAAATCTCCAGTAAGATTCGTTTCTTTATCATTCGTGATCGTTATACTGGTTTATAACGGGTAAGACAGGTTAATTTTCCGTCCCTTAATACATTGCATCAATGATCGAAACATACCGTAAGATGCAGCATGAAAAGCTCTACAATTCACATAAGAGCACTTATTTCATAGTTGTACTTTTTGTTTTCAAAGTGGGCAAAACTTTGAGAGATCAGATTTTGAGCATTGCAAAACTTGATCGCATAGAAATGTGCTCTTTTTGAAAGCAATTACAATCAGTTTTACTGTGAAGATTGTACAGCTTTTCACGCTGCATCTTGTGTGTGTTTTACTTTTCTTCTGATAAAGCATTTTCGTAATGGAACGATGACATAACAAAAAATGAATTCGTTATGTATCAAAAAAGTTATCTTTTCCCCATAATAGACGCTTGATCGCTAAAAGGTTGTCCATTCTAAATACATAAAGTGCAACTATAACATACGTAGTCATATGTAGATTGTAGAGCTTTTCACGCTGCATCTTTTAGTATATTCTGCTTCTTAACAGAACACATAAAAAAAATGAAAACTGCAATGCAAACTTATAACGATCACGAATGATAACGAAACGAATCTTACTGGAGATTTATTACCATTATATTATGTGAAGTATGATCAAATAGTATAGAAAGAAAGAGCATTTTTTTCTCTATCACCCTGTGTAAAAAGAAACTTCTATCAAGCTTGCTAAGTGGTAGTAAAATGTCGTTGCCACTACTTTTGGATACCCCTAAGTATTTATTTGACATAATTTCTCCAATCATTTATCTTTTTAGATTGATTTTAAATTTAAAAAAAAAATATTCAATTTTTATTTGAAAAGGACATTCTAAGAAGGTTCAAAATAGATAGTTATTTTAAAACAGAAGAATGTTATGAAGTCATCAATTACTGGTATTTCGAACCTTTATCTAAACTTTTCATACTATATAAAACACTTGAGCATCAGTTTGAAAAAGATTGCACGAAATATTTATTAACTCCCATACTTTGTCTTCCTCATAGTTTACTCCATCTGAAAATATGCTTATAAGTAATAAATCTTTTTTATTTTGCACTTCTAATAAAATCTGTTGTAATTAATTCTTCTCCAATATTTGATGATAATGAAGATGGTGGTAACATACTACCATTTCCTGAGCACTGGACATGAAGATGATGCCAACAGAATCATTATTTCTTTTATCAAATTGTTGTTGAAGTTGTAAAGCTTTTTGTGGTGATAATTGGCATTGATAAAGTTAATCATGAAGAAAAACTTCAATTATTGTTATTAATGTATCTGCATATTGACGCCTTAATTCAAGTGTTATTTCATTACTTCTAAAAATTAAAAATACTAATATTAAATACAAAAGACAAAAAAAAATTTATTACTTTTTAAAAAGGGTGTGAGTATGGGTGTAATCTCCTCATTTTTAACATCCACATCCATCCCTTGTGAGATAAAAAATGTGAAACACGATATACCTATTCTTACTCATTCTATAACGATTGCTTTTTTTTTACGTATACTAGGTATATTCAACCAGCATTGCTAAATTGACAGAGTAGAATTTCATAAAGGAAATATTCCATCAATACTCTGATTAGACGTTAGTTATACAGAACATTTGATAATCTGCTGAAGGCGACTATCGATCACTGTGAACACCCATGAAGGGTGTCTATCACGGTTTGTGGGGGTCCGGACATGTCTGTCATGGTCTCTGATGTCTAATTAGTTGATTAAATACTAACTAATTAATTAATTAAGATGTCTGTCACGATCTGTGAGGAGGAGGAGGAGTGCGTGCAAATTTATACCCTGTATACTTCAACACTTCTTTCAGATCATGTTTCACAAAATGTCCATAAATTAAGATGTCCCCAAATTAAAAGTCTCTACTTGATCACCAGAACTACCTTAATTTTTTAATTGTCCACAATTGTGGCTATTATTGAGAAGTTGATTTAGGGCACAAAAATTTGTGGCAAACGGGACACATTCCAGGAATCCGAATGTATGTAAAGTTTGCTGAAAAAATCAAACCTGAAAAATTTTATAAATCATCTATAGATTGAGATTCCTCGACTCCAAAAATCTTTGAACAAACCTTATAAGAAATCGTGACGTTCGAAAAACAAGTTTCCTCTAACAAAAATATCAAACTCACAAGTTTTGAGAAACCTATTATTGATTCAGATTCCTGGATCACAGAAATCTTTGATCAACCTTTATAAAAAAAAAGCTCTATCTTCGAAAAATAGGCCTTGTTTGACGAAAAAATCAACATCGCAAATTTTCATTACCCGTTTCTGGGTAACGTAACGATAACTGACCTTCCTTACTATGGAGTATTGAAAACATTATCTAACACATGATTTATAGATAAATAGGATGTTAAAAATAAAATATATTTCTTAAATGAAGTATCACAAAGAAACAGAATAATTTAATTTAATTTTTAATTTAATAAATTACAAAGTGTAAATAACTAAAATGTAAAATAAATTTACCAGAAAAGTGACGCCCTCTATCCTTCATCATCACGCATGCATATGTGGGCACCGTTTAAGGGAAACAAACAAGTTAAGGAAAATATGGATATCAGTATGGAGGCAAATGAAATCGCGTGATGGTACATAGACTTAGCACAACAAACTAGCCGCCGGTACTACTGCACTTTATGTACACCCCGCATTGTTAATGTGCACAGAACGGGAAAAAATTCTATTGGTGAAATGATTAAGCGAATGTTTCTCGATAAAATAAATACATATAAATAGATGTCATACAAAAGCGATACGTGTTGTATTGAACAGAAAAAAAATAGCGATGACTACTAATTAAGATATAAGAAGTAATTAAGAACAACGTATTTGAAGTATTCATTATGAATGATGAATAAACTAAAATCAAGAAAGCAAAGATAAAAGTCGTTTTGATAATAAGATGAAAATTTTTCTTTTAATTAAATTTTTTTAAAAAGTCTAGTAATTATATTTGAAAATGGAAGGGCTTATATATATATTATCGAAGTATTCTCATATTCTCATAAGAAAAAATATTTCGATATTTTTGCTATAATAAAAAAAATGACTGATCTCGTGAATGTTGATGATTTGGATTCTATCAATACCAGAAAAATTCATCAACTAACTGCTACACAAGATTTTTATAGGCTCAGTAATACATTCTGATGAGTGGAGGGCATATTTCCAACTTAATAACCATGCTCTATACATCCATTTAACTGTGAATCATTCTGTACATTTTGTTGATCCTGCGACATGCGTGCACACACAAAATATTGAAAATACGTGGATGAGAGTTAAACGAAAACATAAAAAACAAGGAGGATTTTCAAGAATTTTATTGCCTACTTATTTAGAAGAATTTATGTGGCGTCAGGATTTCGGCGATAAACCTCTTAAAAATCTTGTTTTACAAATACAATCAATTTATCCTGTTGTGAAATTCTTTTTAATAAAATTCTTTTCGTTCTCACATGACATGTATTTATATGTATTTATTTTATCGAGAAACATTCGCTTAATCATTTCACCAATAGATTTCTTTTCCGTTCTGTGCACATTAACAATGGGGGGTGTACATAAAGTGCAGTAGTACCTCAACTCGTTATATCAGCTAATTCATTTCATTTTACAAGATAACTTTTTAGTAATCAATTGGAGCAGTTACATGCAACAAATCGAACCATCTAATTTTAAAAGCGAATCAACGAAACAGCTCTGCCCGACTCGTTTAAGACGTTCCATCTTGAACTAAATTGTTATTACACAGGACAATTCGAATAACTGTCTAATCAAGTGTCTTCATTAAAATCAGCGACTGGTCTTATAAGATAAGTCAACTTATCGCGTGAAAGAATTCGATCAAAACTGCTAAACACACATGTGAATTTTTTGAAATATTTTCTTTCAACTCAGTATTTTTTCATCAATTTTTGACATCATTTGAAGATTAATTTAATATAGTGAGATGCATTTTGATTTCTTTTAGTCAATATAAATTTTCCATTATACAATTTTATGTGCCTCTACGATAGTGTCCATATTTTCTCTTAACTCGTTCTTTCTCTTAAGCGATGCCCACACCTACGCATAAAAAACTAATCAATGATGTCATTATATGCAGATAAACATCCACTCGAACGAAGAATATATACTCTGTCAATGGTGTCAACCCCTTATTCTTTTTTTTATTGCATGAAACGTGTATACTAAGTTCTGATTCTCCTTCAGAAAATATTCTTTTCCTATATGTTTTTTCAGTAGAATAGGCTGATATTTGCAGCATATATACTAGACATCTAGGTCTACTCTATATTAGAATTTCCGCTTTCTATCTCTTATAATCAGAGAGATACAACTAATCGAAAATTAATACGAATTTTTCGATTTGTCTTCACAAACAACACGGATGAAAATATTATAGTTGTTCGATCAATCCCTCATTAGGAGTAATTTTTATTTTTCTGCGTATCACTCCTGCGTTACGTCATTTATCCACGTGGTTGTTAACCGAGAAAAATTATTCGATCTCGTTTTATCTCATCCTCATAACGTGCAGAAACAACAAAACTTACGAACGAGTTACATGAAAAGATAAATTAACTTTTAGTGACTAAATGAATCGATATATTATTTTTAGTTTTTCAATCAAATTATTGCTTTACTTTTAAATAAAAATAACAAACCCTACTTGCATATCTAGAATAGTACAAATTTACATTTGATAATTTATATTTATATCATGCTGAATATTTTCACAAATAGTAAACAATTTAGATCAATTGTATTAGGTTTGACACATGATGGGAAATTTACCAAAGCGATTAAAGCAAATAATAGGTCAAGATGAAGAGCAGGTACATAAACAGTGACGCACGTTTTTTTTTTATTATGCTTAAAAAATTTCGATTTGTCAATTTCGTTGAAACCATTGTTTTTTATTTTACATCCTTAATAAAACAGCAGAAAAATCCTCACAAATAAATTAAAAAATTTCCATGAATTTCACATTACTTGTATCTCTCTGATTATAAGAGGTAGAAAGCTGAAATTCTAGTGTAGAGTAGATCTAGATGTCTAGTATATATGCTGCAAATATCAGCCTATTCTACTGAAAAAACATATAGGAAAAGAATATTACTTGAAGGAAATCAAAACTTATTACATACCCTTTATGGAAAAAAAAGAAGTGGAGTCCTCACAATGGGTAAGTCCGTGGAATTTCTACCACTTTCAGGAAAATTTTTCTTTTTCCAATTTTAATAGGCTAGTTAAACGTAACATCATCAAAAACTGTCTGAAGTTACAATTAAAATCTTTTTACTTATAAAAAGTATGGAGATCTAGGTCATTTTTAGGAACACTTCACACATATAAAGAGTGTCCTAAAATAAATTGTTAATCATATTTTTCATACTTTTTGTTGAGATACTAAGAAACTATTGCAAAAATCAATACGAAAATTGATATAAATTTCAGCTCTCTATGTCAATAAAAAAGTATGAAAAATATGATTAACAATTGGTTATGAGATATTCTATATATACGTGGAGTGTTCCTAAAAAAAGATGCGAATCTCCATACTTTATATGTCCAAAAAAGTTTTAATTGCTACCTCAGACCCTTTTTGACGACGTTATGTCTAATTAGACTATTAAAAAAAAATGAACTTCCTTTCAGAACATTGGCACAGAATACCCTTCTTCCCGAAACTGTTAGAAACCCCACAGATTCACTCAATAACAATATTTTTTTGATCACATGTTATCCTATTCAACGATTGATACACAACATTTTTGTATATTACATTAACTTTCTAGATACTGTAGCTGCAGCAAAATCTTGCATGACAGAAGATACACGACACACAACGAACCGATTTATCGACTTTGAGTTTGATAATAAGAAACTTCCACCTATATGTGGCTATTGGACTGAAAAACTCGTTCCACTTGAACATGCTTTGAAGTCAATCGAGCCTCACATCGATCAGTTACATCGTTCTCTCAAAGCGGCCAAAAAATATTGCCATTTTCCATCAGAACATGGTCTCACTCATGATGAATCAGCTGCTGTATATTTATATACGATGGAAGGGGGTGATAATA